CTTTGACCTGGCTCTCAGGGGCTGAGTCTTCCAGCAAAAAGTTCTAAGCTTCTAAATCACCAGGGCGGCTGTGGACTTCAGGTTTGTTTCTCCTCCGCTTTTCTCCTGGGAGTTTAGTTGTTTTTAATGTATTAGAATTTTTTATTTTTAGAAACCTTAATCTTTTAATGATTACCAAAAGTGAACAATTAGCATTTGTGTTCACAGAAAACTTGTGACCTTGAAGTTAATTGATAAGGCACCTGTTAGGTCTGCAAGCCAGTAACATAACTGCCAACACCCCCACCCCCCTTCTTTCAGCCCAGACCCATTGCTTTCCCTCACAGATTTTTCCTCTTTACTCTTGATCTCTCTAACCAATTCCCCCGTCTGCCAGTCCAGTTGTTTGTCTCCCTTTAAACTGTGGGAGTTTCAAAGAAAACTACAGACTGCTCCTATAGTAGCCCTCCCTCCCGGAGGCTGGGGTCTGATCTGTGGGGAAACATGACTCTTAGTTGGCCTGGAAAGATAACGGGTGCATAGGGAGATTTCTTGCAGACAGAAAGCCTGGAGACCACCTGAAATCCAGTTACAGATGCTTTCAGAATCAGGATGAGGGAGGAAGGGAAAGACCAGGTTTTGTCCTCTATGAGGATCCTAATAAATAACTGAAAACAGCAAGTCAAACAAAACACATCACAGGCAGGGTCAGGGCCAGTAAATCTCTCCTCCCTGCAGAGCTGTAAACCCTTTGTGTCCATCAAAGAGATAAGAAAACCATAAATAACAAGTTCTTTGAAATTTACTACTTTGTTAATTTGCTAAGCAAATAATTAACTTGAAAAGACTTCTCTCTTGCTTTTTTTATAAGCAATCTCAGAACTAAGCAATCTTGGAACTTAGCCAGCCTTTATTTTAGCCTTTAAATCTACCCTAGAACTTCAAAATTTCAATTTAGTACAGCGAATTTACAACCCAGGTAAGAGCAATTGATAGACAGAAATTTATATTAACTAAGTGGGCTGATTCCCCTTTAATAGTGAGCAATAGACTCTGAGAAAAAATAATTCTCGCAGCTGCCAAGAGACTTTTGCAGACCATCACAGGTCCAGCCGAAATGTTCAGCCAAATGAATTAACAGACTGTAGAATAAATCAAAGTAGCTTTCACTTTACACAGACCAGTTAATGAGCAGCCAAACACTTATACTCACACTCTCTCAGTACACTAGCCTAGACTGGAGCTGAGCAAATAAATGAAACAATGCCCAACTTCCCAAATGGGTGTGGGGGCACTCCTGGCAGCCATGTCCCAGAACAGAATTCTCGACCAACGTCTTGGTGAGAACCTACCGGAGGAGTTAAGACTGCGTCCAGTCCCCCTTTTCAGTAGCAAATTGGCCAGTCCACATAAACAAATACCTGTTCACTCATACTTCCTTAATGTTTCAGCATTCATTCCAATTCCACAATCTCTATTGTACCCCTTTAAAATTTTCTAACATGTAATTAAGAAAATTAGGTTTACTTTGTCCCGACCCCATGATGATCGGTGACCAGAGACAGACAAGGGAGGGGGTGACTTGTTTTCACAGATCCTCACTCAGATGCCTGCCTGGCTGCATCCCTTGGGAGCTTAGATTCGTGTTAGCTAAGGTGCACCCATATAAACCCCGGGCCTGGTCACCTCCACATGGGGTGAGTCACCGTTATGCCATATGACGAATCTCAGAACCGCAGGTTGGGGCCCACTCGGACTCCGTAACCGAAGTCATGGAGCCACACAAAGGAGAGGACAGGGCAGGCCCCCTCCCTCCACACTCACACACTTTCAAAAGACATTCACTTAGAGTTTAAACAATCCACCCAATTCCTAACAATTTCCCAATTCCTGAGGGAGCTCTATAGCTTCCCGGGAGGTGATCAAGCTCCCCTTCCACTCACTCGGAGTGGGCCTGATTGATAGGGGGTTGACGAAGATGACTGACCTTAACCCATTTTGACAAAGACAAAGACAACAAGGAACAAAGACAAAACAAACCAGACAAATGCAACCTAAGGTTGCCCAGAACCTGTAGCTCGCTTCTTGAAGTCCTGAAAATTTTCAAAAAAACATTGCAGCGGGAAGCACACAGAAGCAGACGATGACTGCCCCATTTTGACAAACACCAAGACAACAAACACTAAGACAAACAAACACAAAACAGACAAATCCAGTGCAACCTAAAGCCACACCTACCAGGGACCCCGGCCACTGTCCTGGCCGCAGGTCAGGACCAGGAGTACTGCTGTGTCCAGCTCTCTGTATAGGTCCTTCTGTGGGACATCCTAATTCCTGTTTAACGACTGGTCCTTACCTCTCTCGAGAGTCCAGGTGGCTCGGTTTCCGAATTGAAAGTTTTGGGGTGGACTGGAGGGCTCCTAGGTAGTCGTTCCCCACAGGGATGTGGGGTATCTTGCTGTGTGCCCGGTGACAAGTGGGGGAGAGCTTCCTGCCTTAAATAGGGGGTCCCTCTCACCCCTGCCAGGGGAGAGCCTCCTGCCCTAAATAAGGGGTCCCGCTCACCCCTGCTAGGGATCCCGGGCGAGCCCCCAAATGTTATGGGTTCAATCAGCGAGATAGACCACCGACTCAAAATTTAAATTTTAAGAGCCTTTATTAAGCTGGCCAGCTGACTACCTCCGCGTCCCTCCCATAGGAGCATCA